GAGTGAAGAGAGAATCGAAAGGACGAATGTGAGGGTGTAAAAAACAAGATCTTGATCCGCCCCTTTTTTGCTCACCACGCACGCACTAGCACTTTCCTCCGTTTGTCCATGCGCATGCGCAATCGGATCTTTCCTTCACATGGTGGAATGGCGGATCAACAGGCGTGAGTGATATAAGAATCTCTATACATCTCTGTCCCTGTTTTAGCCTCTCTGTCCCTGTCAACGTTTTCGGCTAGCATATGGTCTTTTATTCCTTTTCCCCAGTGGAGCGAAGCTACCGACCGTCCCCGAGACGCTACTGAGCTGTCGGAAAAGAAACCGACGAAGTTCGAAAAGGCGCCCGCTCCTTTGCCAGGGCCGCCACCAAGAAGGTTGGTTAGCTGTCTCTTAGACCGTCTGTCATTCTAAGTAGTGTGGAAGGGACGTAGGAGTTTTAATCGTAATCCGTCCCCTGTTTTCCGAAGTTCGTGCATTTGTGGATGGTGCAGTCATGAACAAAACAAAGATCTTTCTCCCTCCTCCTTCCCCCTCTCCCTCCTTATCTCAGTTACGTAAGGACCAGAGGAAGGTGATCTTCAAGCGAGCGGAGCATTATGTCAAGGAGTATACCGCCAGAGAGAGATGGACGGATACGGATGAAGATGAGAGGCAAGGAGTAGAGGCCAACTGTACGTCCCCGATGAGGCCAAGGTCGTCTTTGTCTCAGAATAGGGTGAGGGGTAAGTGAGCGTTTCCGTACTTTCGCCTTGTTTTCCCTTTTGTCTTTGCTTCTCCGTTTCTTTACCTCTCTCTCTTTCCCACCCACTTGTTTCCGTATCTACCCCCTCCCCCTAAACCTGAATCCTTTCCTTCCATATACTAATTCCTTCCTTTATTCCCTACTTTTCTCGTCTGTGTGTACATGACTCTCCCTCCTCCCTCCCTACGCACACACACACACACCCACACACACCTACTATACCACAGTATCAATGGTGTTAGTCCGAGGGTCCGGAAGATTCTTCAGCTCCTCCGACTGCGTCAGATCAACAACGGAGTGTTTGTGAAGGTCAACAAGGCAACGGTCCACATGCTCAATTTGGTCGAGTCCTACATTGCCTGGGGGTGAGCGCAGCTGTCTACTCGCACTTAGTCTGTCTACTGTGTCTTTAAGTTATCACGAAATGTTCTAGATCAACAATTGCCTTAGTATTGTGTAACTACTGACTCAACACTAACTTACGCAAGTTTTAGATAATTCGCAAAGTTGCTTTAGCATGTTGTACGTTTGTTTAACTGCGTTACGGACTTCTGTTTTTTCGAAAAGTTGCCGTGGAGTTGTTCATAGTTCATAGTAGTAAGGCCAGAGTGCACCAGGGGGACATAGTTCCTCTATCGTCCCCTGAATGTGCTTCCCTTGGGACACTTTGACCCCTTAATAGTATATAGGCGTGCTGTTATTGGAACCATCTACTATATAACTGTCTTGCTAGGGGGCTGATTGTCCCCCAGCAGTAAATCTGTGGAGCTATTATTATGTACGTACATGTAGATATAGTGGTAAAGTAATCTCCTACTTCCTTTCTTCCAAACCCTCACCCTCTCACCCCACCTGCACCCCAGGTACCCCACGGTGAAGACAGCACGAGAACTGATCTACAAGAGAGGCTACGGGAAGATCCAGCACCAGCGCGTCCCGCTCTCCCACAACACCGTCATCGAGAAAGCCCTCGGAAAGTTTGGCATCATTTGCATCGAGGATCTCCTGCACGAGATTGTGACGGTGGGCCCGCATTTCAAGGAGGCAAATAATTTTCTGTGGCCGTTCAAATTGAGCACTGCTCGTGGAGGGTATCGACAGAAGACGAGGCATTTCATCGAGGGCGGTGACCACGGCAACCGGGAAGAGTTGATCAATCAACTCGTGCGTAGGATGAACTGAGACACGCCCACTGAACTTTGACCTGTAGTGCAGTGCATAACAATTGTGATGATAAGATAATGTTCAGTGTCATTATATTATTATTACGAGTGAATGCGGGAGTTTCAAGCGCATAAATGCCTACAACTGTATAATTATATGCACGTGTGTCAGAGCGGAATGTGTCAGTATGTAAGGTGCTGAATAATTCTAAAAATTTTACTGACTTGAATGCTGTTTCTTGTTCAGTCTTAGTTAGGATTTTTCGATCTTGTCAAATAATCATTGTGTACAAGCAGGGATATATGAGACACAAGAAGATTAACAAATGTCCGCTATTAAGCTACGTATACTCAATAAGTAGCATTTTTGTCAGTGGTAAGACATTCTGATGGTGGCATAGGCTGCATTGGGTTCAGTTGGAATGGCGGTATTGACAGTAGGCATAATGTAATCAGCAGGCATAATGTAATCGTACTCCACATCATCAGGTCCTGTTGGAGATGCAAATTATATATGTGACTATGATAGTGTTTTGCCGACTGATGTATATATAGCTGCAAAATGGCAATGTGCTATCATGTTTCAACATTACTCAGTTCCTTCCCCTCCCCCAATGTAAATGGAAGGCACTAAAGTGCAAACCCTCGGCACACTCTATAGAAATGTAATGTGGAACCCATACACAAGTGTGGCACCACCACAATTGATGGTCTTGACCATGCATAAAAAAGAACAGCATGTTATGCACCATTTCCATAAAAATGGCCAGCCCTATATCTGTTTGAGGCCAAAAATATTATAAGGTTGAAAAATTGCCAATCTTTCATCTCTCTATTAATTTTCGTATTATAGTGGATTGTTTAGTGCAAAAAAAACCCAAGGTTGAAAAAAAGTTTTTTCAAAACGCCCAGCCCTTCATCTCTCCAGACAGACGTCTATGGACGCAGTGCAATGCCGAACTATACGCTGCCCTTTGAGAAACGTGGGTCAGTGGTAGATTTGTGGGTAAGGGGAGGAACCAGAGCTGTTCCCAGCCAATGCTCTGGACCACCTGACACTTTAGCGGATTCGAACCGGGCACCTATGGTGTCAGTCCCCACGACTCTAACCACCTAGCCACTCGCGCGGGCCTTGAGAGGTGATGAAAAAACGTTCCATATATACCAACACTCCTATTACATCATTGTAAAAAAGGCGCACACCCCCGGGATCGAACCAGGATTTCACGATCAAGAGAGGGGGTGCTTATCCATCAGACCCCCACCCATTACTTGATCGAATGGGAACAGAAGAGCACTAAAGTAAGTACAAACCCTCGGCGAACTGCGCATGCGCAATACAGCTAATGAGCTATTGGCGCGGTCTCCCGCTAGTAGCTCGCGGAGAGTCTGACACTGGCTAGCTACGGTAGTAGATAGCATGCGGGGAGTCGATACACACCCTTCACTGTGGCTTCATGTGCCTCCAAGGTACACAGAGCAAGCGGATCTCAGGTCGAGGTGAGCCAGCATACTGCGTCTAATACACGCATGCGCACCGCTTTTTTATTGATGGGGGTTGGGCCACGCGTACGTACGCGCAACGCTGTCCGCGACTAGACTGTGCCAGTTTGTCGCTCTCGAACGCAGTCGTTTCAGCAAAATCGCCACATTTTATTTTTCTAGCCCCTGTATATACCGCTAAAGCTGTTGGTATCGCTCATAAGCCGCCTCGTTGCCTGTAGACACACAGACACACAGAACGACTACAGTAACCCTCGCTGCGCATGCGCGCCGAGGGTTAACAATACCGGGCACACTATACCTCTAGTAAGAGTGGTAGGTCTCAGCTTTTTGTGTCTGTGATACAGACAGCCACTATTCCCAGAACCAACCCCACCAAGCCACATAGCAGAAGGAACGCAGCCACTATGCCTGAGAGCAATGGGTGATGGCAAACTCATTACAAAAACCTGTCAGTTTTACCAGTAATCTCGACGATAGACATTGCATCAGTTTCTTCTTTCCCTGTGGTTAATAAATAAATATGGAGCTGCATGTTAAATTTTTCATTCAACCAGGAAATGAAATGCTGGGGCCTTCACATAGTTCTGCCATTATTTGACATACTCGACACAAATATAACCTCAAATGTCATGCATTACACTGCTCAGTCAGTAAAGACCATCAGCGAGAGGACTGACCAGTTGAGAATGAATGTTGTTTCCCGCCCCCTGTCCAGCATGGTTCATGGCAGAGACACTGACAGTGTAGGTGGTATCTCCGGACAGACCAGCGATTACAAACCTCACTCTACCACCTCTGACATAGGTGGTCTGGTTGCCACAGCAACCAAGCTCGGGGTGACTCGTCAGTTCCATGACGACAATCATTGGAGGGGTTCCCTCGGGCGACAGCTCCACCTCCACTACAGCTGTGGTGGTGGTGGTAGATATGGCTTCGATCCTTACCGGAGCAAGGGGCAGGACTAGAGCGGGGAGGAGAAGGGGTGGGGGGAGTAGGTATAATGTGTGGTGATCAATGGTATGAGTTGCTGATGCTGGCTACAAGAGCTGCTAGTAGCAATGAGTCTATATAGGTGGCATTGGAGGACAACAGCCCATACTGCATATTTAACAACACTTGACTGCTAGTTAATCTTCATCAAATCAGTCAGCCAGTCCGTATATATGACTGTCACCTAATATCAACATACTCACTGCTAGTTAATCAGCTATACAGTAAGCCAGCCAGCCAAAGAAACGGCGACACATAAACTCAGCTATTGGTATGAAGTATGGATCCTGGTAGAAAATTAGGCAGGCAAATGCAGGTATCTTACCCAGTTGCTCTGAATGAGGCATCTCATCTCTAGACACAAGGGCTCTGTCATTCTCTACGTGAACTCTGAACTCCAGCTGTGCATACCGAGCAAACTCCGAGTTGGTCACGACCCCAGTCCATACCAGCAGGTCTGATTCCGGTACCACTGGGACCCTCATGGCCCCACTCCATTCCGTGTCCCCCACGATCCGGAACGAGACGATAAGTTGAGTTACGGAGCCCCCTCCGGTGTAGAGTAGAGTGGTGGATATTGAGAATGAGGTGGAGTTTAGTCTCGACACTTCCACAGCAGACACCAAGGGAGCTGTGTGGGGACAGAGGGAGGGGTTAAAATAAAACTGTCACACAATAATAATCTGCAGCATTATACATAGAGCAGAAAGGCTCTGTTTTAGCTCGAGTGGGCAAAATGGCTCTCCAGTCCACATAAATCTCAGGCGCACACACAGCTCTCAGTAATGGCTATGTTACACACAATGCTCTCTGACGCGATACACTACACACCACCTGTGCCAGTGCACACCACCCCATGACTCACTCACCTGCAGGGGCTGTGGTGAAGGTGACAGGCACAGTCCGGTCCCGCCCATCCTCGTTAGCACTCTCCACGGTAACGGAGTACTCCACCCCGGGAACCACACCCACCTCTGCTGATCGGGTGGAGATTGGATCACCCACCTGGTGACACGAGGTGGCCCCTATCGTTACGTTCTCAACGAAGATTGTAATGTTGTCTGGGTGTTCACCGGCATGGCGATAGACCACCACCCACTCAACAACAGCTGATAGTGGTGGCTTTGATGTCACGTTGACGTTTGTAATGGTAGCTGGGAAAACTGCATGGGGAGGAGGATGGAGAGTAAGGAAGGAGAGAATTCCAGTGGATGTGTGCAAGTCTTAGGACCTTGAAGTTCAGTGCTACATATCAGTATGATGTAGACATGGAAGGGAAAGAGAGATGGAGAGAGAGGGGAGGGGAAGGTAGGGGTGACAGAACATGTAAACATCGGTGCCTCCTTTCGACAAATTAACTGCGGCATGCTACCAGCCCCTCGTGAATATCGCTGAGAGAATTGGCCTGACACGACACTAGACCCAGAGGACCAATTACAGAAAGTATCCCATGCCAACAGACCACCCTCGAGTCAGTCACCGCTCCTCAGGGCACTATCAACACATCACTGTAACCATGGGGACGTTGAGATCATGTGACTAGTCATGTGATCCCTCATAACTCAGTCTGGTATTATGAGACAGTGTGTGTAAATACAAAACACCAACAAATCTTATAGTGTTTGTCGCTGTGTTTCTGCTAGTATAGTATACAGTTATACTACTCATATTATACATAGTGGAGTGGGACTGAGAAGTAAAATAACAAAGTGTGAAGTTTTAGAAACTCGCAGGACATTTCAAAAACATGATGGATTCATAGCTCAATGTTTGTGTACTGTGAGGTAGTTGTGTACTGCATAGCGTGGAAATTTCCAAGGGACAGAACGAATGGGAAATTCACATTTTTTGAACTGCGATCACAAAACTTTTCTTTGTTAAATTTAGTGGGTTTGAACATTTTGCATTGCGGGACTGGCAATCCGCAATCAACATCATTCTCTCTGTCATTGAATGGTGAAAGTTGTCTTCCTCCCACTATACTTTTCCCCCTGACCAGTGACAGAGATGGAGAATGAGGTCCTGGCTGTCCTCTCCGCCACAGGGATTACATCATTCTCATTGGTGATGACGACATCGTAGGCTCCCTCAAAGGAGCGGGAGAGGTAAGTGTCAGTGAAGACAAGGCTAGTGGTGGCCATCAGGTCAGCTGGGGAGTAGGACGTCTGGATCTCATACCCTTCCCCGCTGGTTGCTAGGGTCTCCCCATCCTTTCTCCACTCCACTACTGAGGTGTCTCCCTCACGACCTGAGTAGCCGATAGAGATGGAGCTTTGGAAGGCGTCGTCTGCGAGAAGAAATGATAAGTTGAGTCACTGGCACAATCAAACCACAAAACCTCAGAACAAGGTCAAGAGATGAGAGAGCTGACCTGTGAATGTGTAGAGAGACTCTGGAGGGGTGAGTATCAATGGAGGAACTGCAGGGGGGAGAGGAGAGGGAGGGGTGGGACAGTGATACATAGATTATTTGTTTGAGGAACTATAGGGGGCCTTCTTTTACTATACATAAAAGAGACATTCGCAAAACTGAAAGAAAGGCTAAAGGATGTGAGGAATAACAAAAGATTGTCTGCAATGATTTGATTGATACAGTCGCAATTGAACCTCACCAGTAATCCTAAAGTCTATGTTGACATCGAAGTCATCCATCTCCATATTCTCATCATGCAGTCTGCAGGTATACATCCTCTCGTCTCCCATTTCCACTGGTGATAGCACGTTCAGCCCCGCCTCGAAATTTGTGTCATCTCCAACAGCCCACCTGTCTATTATTGTCACTCCTTCTGCCGTTATGGCACACTGCAGCTCAATACTGGAGCCTAGCACCGCATACTGAGGTGATGGAGCAACTATCACCTCATTCTCTGTGAAGAGAGAAACACATTAACAGAAGATGCTACCTCACACATACAGCTAACAGAAGATGCTACCTCACACACAGCTAACAGAAGATGCTACCTCACACACACAGCTAACAGAAGATGCTACCTCACACACAGCAAACAGAAGATGCTACCTCACACACAGCAAACAGAAGATGCTACCTCACACACAGCTAACAGAAGATGCTACCTCACACACACAGCTAACAGAAGATGCTACCCCACACACACAGCTAACAGTAGGGATTACTCTATTACCAACCTAGTACAGTCAGTCTCCCAGCATTGTGTGACTCAGTCAAGGTTCCGTCAGATCCCTTCACTCTACAGTAGTACTGTCCCGAGTTGTCTGCTGTCATTTCAGCGTTGGAGATGAAGTAATGGCCAGGTGCTGTCGTATCTGTCTCAACCACTTCTTCTCCTTTGAGCCACTGGAACTCCATAACACTGCATATACATTCTGAAAGTCTGATATTTGTTAACACTGCAGTGCATTTATATGCATTCTGAAAGTCTGATATTTGTTAACACTGCAGTGCATTTATATGCATTCTGAAAGTCTGATATTTGTTAACACTGCAGTACATTTATATACATTCTGAAAGTCTGATATTTGTTAACACTGCAGTACATTTATATACATTCTGAAAGTCTGATATTTGTTTGGAGGTCTAACCTAATGCCTGTCACTGAACAGAACTTGGTGAAGTCATGTCCATCCACTCCACGAATAGCAATCACATTACTGGGACTCACTGTTACTGCGATAAAGAGAGAGAGCATGAATTATGACTGAGGCAACACATACATGTGCATGCACACAGCATGTGCATGCACACACATGCCACATATACTCGTATTAAACTATTGCTCTAGCCGTCTGCGATACATGGAGCTCCTAGTCATGAATACTATATACAGTGGGTTAATAGACACACCTCCGTGAATACCGTAATACCACACTGCATGAAAAGTATATTTATAGCAAACTATAGAAAACCAGAAGTCACCCTCCACCCCCCATCCTCCATCCAAGTACATTCACCGTGACACAAACAACACAGTTGCACACAACAAGGTAGGACACCAGGTGCCCAGCCTTGAGAACTGGGGCGGTGGGTTAAAGAGTCTTTTATGGCATGCCAACTCTCCCCACACACCTAGTGTCCAAACCCAATGACAAACAATCACAATGACAGTTACTATACAGAGGCAGTAGAAAAATCTAAAAATAGAAAGAACTGATCTTTGAAAAAGTAAAAAGGAAGGGGCAGTAAAAATCTCTGTAAAATATGTTCGTAGAAATAACTGCATGTGCTTGAGCAGAGCACAGTGGGAGACCAAATCATTGAATCAGTTCTCCAGAAATAAAAGACAGCAAAGCTTACTGGTTTGATTCAGCTGAATTATGTGCGGTTACCACCACTTGTGATGATATTGTGTAAGTGTGCAAGGCTTTCCTGGTACTGTAGGAGCACCAAACACGACTCAAACCTAACCCAAAACTGCCTACACACTGACTGAGGTATGCTGCTATCCGGATTAGCAAACGCAAAATAGCAGTTCAAAGGTATCGGAACAAGTACAGATCGAGTGACGGTTGACGGAGGACCAAGAGAACCTGACAAATACACAAATGTTCACTCAAGCAGCAGGAGGGACTGGAGAGGCACAACAGAAGCCGCTCAGGTGCAGAAGAAGATGAGCAGCTTCTAGTATCATACCTACCAACCATCCAGCTTTTTGCTCAAAAATTCTGCATATCCCACCAGAAAATTGCCAAATCCCTCTTTTTTTGGTGCTAACCTGTGATGCACCGTGCCTATACATTAGAATGGACACGCAGCATTTTCAAGCTCTAAATCAAGCGAATTATATATTTCGACACATTTTTCAAGCAAAGCAGGTTGGTAGCTAGGTATTATTATGCTTAGCTATAGCTACACCGACTCACCGGTTTGCCCAGCCGTCCAGCGCAGGCAGGTCTCCAGGACTACCAGTAATAACAGTAGAGAGCTTCGCCAGCATCTGGAGCTCGCCAAGTTCCTTGGATCCCTGCACGTCTTCATGATGACAGCTTGTTTGCTGCTTTCGCTCGGTAAAGCACGTATTATTGAACGCAGATAGATTGACCTTCGGCGCGCATGCGCAGCGAGGGTTTGGTCCGCCCGTCTGTCTGTGTTGTTACCATGCTTTCTGCCACCACGCGCAAGCAAAGAGCGATAGTCAATGCTACACTGGCTCGATTAAAAAAAGGCGATTTTCAAAAAAATACCGCTTTCTAAAGTTATGGCGTGAAAACCAAGTGAACAAACCAATATGCTAATTAGCAGAGGCTTACCTAATCTTATATACCTCGACCGGGTCCGCTCGCTCTGCGTATCTTGAAGGCACAAGAAGATACAACGAAGGGCGTGTATCGACTCCCGCATACTATCTACTATAACTGTGGCTAGCCCGTGTGAGAATCCGCGAGCTACTAACGAGACTAAGAGAAACGCGCAGCCCGCAAGTTGGGCATGCGCAGCGAGGGTTACAGTAGTCGTTCTCTGTGTGTGTCCGCGACTCTTCTCGCACTACAGGCAACGAGGCGGCTTATGAGCGATACCAAAAGCTTTAGCGGTACATGGGCTAGAAAAGTAAAATGGCGCTGAAACGACTGCGTTCGAGAGCGACAAAAACTGCGGACAGCGTTGCAATAAGCGGTGCGCATGCGTGTATTAGACGCAGAATGCTGGCTCACATCGACCTGATCCGCTTGCTCTGTGTACCTTGGAGCACAAGGAGCCACAGCGAAGGGTGTGTATCGACTCCCGCATGCTATCTACTACTGTAGCTAGCCAGTGTCAGACTCTCCGCAAGCTACTAGCGGGAGACCGCGAGTAAACGCCAATAGCCCATTAGCGGTACCGCGCATGCACAGTTCGCCGAGGGTTTGCACTTTATTGGGTACCACACATGCCGAGGGTTTGCACTTTATCGCTCTTCTCGCGCTATTGTAAAAAATAAGCAGGAATATTATGAGTAGTCATCAGAACATAGTGTACAACAGCTCGACTTTACTTTGAAAAATCACATCACACACATATAAATATTACATGTCCAAACTATGAAGTGTAAAGTTAGTGTTTTCTCAAACAGAAGCTAGTTCAACATAGACAGTGATGTCTCCATCTGGAGTGAATCCTCCACAAACCATCAGTGTGCTGTTAGGAAGAACTGCTGCAAAACAGTAGTTTCGCTTCACCTTCATCCGGCTGATTACTTTCCAAGAGTTTGTGGTTACATCATATTGCATCACGTCAGATGTGGAGTCGGCATCTCTCCCTGTAGTCGATCCTCCTACTGCCAGTAGCTGGCCTTGGAAGGTGACGAGAGAAGACAACTTTACTGCAAGTGGAGTAACTTCTTTCCACACTGGAGGACTACTGGAGAGACCTGGTCTGGTGGCTAGTGACTGTGGCTGTGATTGGAGGAGGTCTTTCACCTCACACATTACCACTGACTTGTTTGACCTCCCAGTAATCCCACCACCAATATAGAGTCTGTCCCCACAGATGGTGGCTGTGGCTTGATCGAGAGGATAAGGTAGACTGGCTACTGTTGCCCATTGTAATGTCTGAATGTCCATCATTTCTACTAATGCATTTTTCAAATATGGACTCCATCCTCCAGCTACTATCAGTGATGTGTTGGTGGTAGCGACTGCTGGGGCATTGCGACCGTATGTCATTGGTGGAAATTGTTCAATCCACTTCTGTTGGAAGATGCCTAGTCTTTTCCGTGAGAGACTGAGAAGAGTGTTTGTGGCTTCATATGATTGTCCCCCTCCAATTGCTGTCAGTTGTCCATTCACTACTGCTATGGAGAAGAACATTTTGGGGCATTCTGGAAGAACTGTCCATTTTCCTGTCCTTGAGTTGAACATCAGCACTTTCCAACTAACACCATCAGCACAGTAGACTATCTCTCCAGTGACTGCTACTGAACGTCCGTAGGTTGGGAAAGGAGCTGGTGGTCCATCCCTCCACCCTAGTTTCAGAGGTCCTGTGGCCACACCACTTCCCTCCCTCTCCCTCACTCTCTGCTGCAGTTCTCGTATCTCTCTCTCCTTCTCCTGCAGCTAACTCATCCTTTGCCCCCTCCCTCCCCCGAATCACTGCATCTTTCTGCTCTACACTCTGTTGTAGAGCAGCCACCACCTGTTCATTCTCTTGTCTACTGACTTGAAGTTGTTGAAGTTGTCTACCCATTTGCTCAAACAGTTCATCTTTCTGTTGTATGATTCTGGCTTGCTCTTCGTTCTGCAGTGTCAGTTGCTGCACTTTTCTGGTGAGGTCTTCAACTCTCGACTCACTCTCCCTCAGTTGTTGCTCTAGTTCCTGGTCTCTGGCAGCAGGTGCCTGACCTGTCGTCTCCTCTGGGGTCTGCTGGAGGCTGTCTCGGAAGGCAGCACTCTCTTTCAGAGCAATCAGGCGAGAGCACAGCAGTTCTCGTATCTCTCTCTCCTTCTCCTGCAGCAACTCATCCTTTGCCCGAATCACTGCATCTTTCTGCTTCACCCTCTGTTGTAGAGCAGCCACCACCTGTTCATTCTCTTGTCTACTGGCTTGAAGTTGTTGAAGTTGTCTACCCCTTTGCTCAAACAGTAGTATGCTTCTGGCTTTCTGCAGTGTCTGTTGCTGCACTTCTCTGGTGAGGTCTTCAACTCTCGACTCACTCTCCCTCAGTTGTTGCTCTAGTTCCTGGTCTCTGGCAGGAGGTGCCTGACCTGTCGTCTCCTCTGGGGTCTGCTGGAGGCTGTCTCGGTAGGCAGCACTCTCTTTCAGAGCAATCAGGCGAGAGCACAGCTGCTCTCGTATCTCTCTCTCCTTCTCCTGCAGCAACTCATCCTTTGCCCGAATCACTGCATCTTTCTGCTCCACACTCTGTTTTAGAGCAGCCACCACCTGTTCATTCTCTCGTCTGCTGGCTTGAAGTTGCTGAACTTGTCTACCCCTTTGCTCAAACAGTTCATCTTTCTGTTGTATGCTTCTGGCTTTTTCTTCATTCTGCAGTGTCAGTTGCTGCACTTCTCTGGTGAGGTCTTCAACTCTCGACTCACTCTCCCTCAGTTGTTGCTCTAGTTCCTGGTCTCTGGCAGGAGGTGCCTGATCTGTCGTCTCCTCTGGGGTCTGCTGGAGGCTGTGTCGGTAGGCAGCACTCTCTTTAAGAGCAATCAGGCGAGAGCACAGCTGCTCGGCCGTCGGTCGCTGACTTTCCTTGTCTTTGAGGCAGTCCAGGGCTACCTCCAGGAGACGGTGTATGGGGGAGATGAGATCTAGGTGCTCCTTACGACGTTCCAACTCGGGGACTACAATGAGTGCCTGTCTAGATTGAAAACGAGGATCATTCAGTTGCACAGCGAATGTACGAGGGCCTGGTTTTGGCCACTTGCGAGTGATGAGCTGAACAAAGAGCACACCACAGGAAAAGACATCCAGTTTGCTGGTGTATGTCGGGGGATCTGCCAGTGCCTCGGGAGACATGTAGGTATTGGTTCCGGGGCAGTAGGTGGGAGTGAGGCGAGGGTCGCTGCCCAACAGCTTGGCCATGCCAAAGTCGGTCACCTTGGCTCGCCGGCTGCCGATCAGGAGGACGTTGTTGCTGCTGAGGTCGCGGTGCAGCACCTCGTGGCGATGGAGGTGGGAGAGAGCCTGTGCCACGTCGTGGCCAATGTCCACCTGCACGTGGAGAGGGAGAGAGGGAGGGTCCGCCGGCCGCTCCAGGAAGCTGGTCAGGCTCTCGTCCATCAGCTCCATGAACAGGACGGGCATTCGAGTGTCGGGGTCCGCACACGAGCCCAGGTACTGGATGACGTTCGGGTGCCTCAGGCCGCTCAGGAAGTCGATCTCTCGCTGGAAGCGCTCCACGATGCGGTAGGCGGAGGGGTCCCTTGTCTGGAAGAGGATGGGGTGCAGGACTTTGGCGGCGCAGACGAGCTGGTCACACTTGGCCCTGTACACTGCTCCGTACGAGCCGTTCCCCAGCGAGTTCTCCTCCGACTTGACCAGTCGGACGTTGCAGAAGCCGAAACGACCTTGGAGTCGTAGTTGCTGAGCCATTTGGATTGTGAAGAGAGAATCAAAGGACGAATGGAAGGAGATCTTAATTGGTCCGCCCCTTTTTTGCTCGGGTTTACGCCCACTTTTCCACCGCCGTTTTGCACATGCGCATGCGCAATCGGGTCGTTTCGCTCGAATTATTATTATAGTGTACAATAGCTCGACTTCACTTTGAAAAAGCACATCATTATACATAAATAATACCACGGGAAAGTCAGTGCATGTATCTTTGGTGATTAACGACATACTAACATTGTATGATCTAATACAAAAAATCAGACGTTGAAAAAAAGAGAGTTATTCCCAATGGAAGGACCGTGTGTGATAGCGGATGAGATTAGTCTTCATCTTCTTCTTCCACATGTGACTCTGGGTTAAGTAGTGCCGTCAGCGCCTGCGGTGATGACCAATCATTAGACAAGGAGTCCGCAAATTCTACGCACATTAGGAGCTCGGGGGCACCCTTCTGTTCTGGCATTAAGAGCACAGTGAGGAGCTAGATGGGTTCCAATGCTTGAAGATTTCAACGGACAAGATGCCTAAGCTATTTAGAACGTGTTAATAATATCGACGGGACACTGCGCATATATTTATTTGTATTGTGATTGGTATATACTGAAATGTAAAGTACACACGAAAAATTGAACGCCATTTTAGAATACACGTGAAACATTGAACTGCTCACTAGCCTACTGCTCATGCTCACTCGCCAAAAATGTGAGGCATTTGTTGTAGTCTGTGTGTGGTATAATATTATATATACCTGTTGTAGTATGTGGATGTCCTGAGGTCTAGACAGACGATGATCTCCATCTTCAATTCCTCTTAGCTGAACTGGGCACTCCAGTCTTGGGGGAGGGGAGGGAGAGAGGGGAGGAGGGAGGGAGAGAGGTAAGAGAGTAGGGAGGAAGGGAGAGAGAGAGAGAAAGAGCGTAGGGAGAGATTTGACAAAATTCCATACTTAATGTGCGAAAGGTGAGATATTTAGATGTGTACCTACACAGATTATATTAAGTCACACTCTGAAAGTATGAGTGTGCAACAAGTCAAGGAACTGCTGGGTCTTTACTCAATTGCCTTTTTACGCTGAGTGCGGGCAGCGTGAAGTGCATACATCATAATAGTGTCAAGCATTTTTTATACTGCCTCTACAGTACGTGACGGAAAAGTTCCATTCAGTTGGCGATATGTATGTAGTAGGCATTTCCTCACAAGCTCCCCTGCAATTACACGCGTAATGACATACTTTTGCAGTATTTGGAGGGAGATGTCGGGAGGTACCACTGTGTCCTGGTCACCATGAATCAACCATGTCGGAGCCTTTATGATCTCTATTCCTGTGACAGGGCACACACAACACACATAGACACACATAGACACACATAGACAGTAATAGACAGTAATAGATGAAGGCCACGATAAACAGTGCAACTTCTTGCATGAGAGAATGCATGTTGGGCCAAACTGTACTTCTTTCCCCAAAACTCCTACTAATAAATAAATTTGTGGACTCAAGTTGCGGTGTCGTTACTGAACTTTGTTGCGTGAGGCAAAGTTATGATAGACTACAATTGGAAGGGAGAGGAGGGAGGGGGAGAGAGGGATAGTGTTTGTTTTGTCTTGTGCCCACACTAAACGACGTTCTCCAACATTCAGCCACCCCCTATCCAAGTGGTGACGTGTGGTGTGCTCTAAATAGAGTGTTGACATAGGGCAAGGGGGTATGTTAGCACAGCTCTGAACACATTGCCATATCCCCCAGTGTTTGCCGACAGCCGCCACAGTGGCATATGCTATACACACCTTCAGTATACACTGCAACAACAAATCGATATCTATCTTGAATAGACTGCATACATACACACACTAATAAAGTGGCTCATGATAGTGACGCATGTTCTTGCACGTGCATGTTGCACATTCCGTGTTTCAAATAAATACTAGGCTGGAAGAAAGAAGGTTTTTGCAAACGCAGAGTTGGAAAAGAGCGTTTTTATGTGCACTTTTACCAGCTTGTGTTGTGATGCAGTGAAACGTAATGAGCTGACACAAGCTTGCTACGTCAATATTGACACATGCCTAGCAAAATGCAACACGGAATATGGTGATCTGAACTTAAACAACTCCAATTATTTGGGTGGGATTCACCCTAAAACTGAAATTATTTTGTTTGCAAACCACGGACACACCTTTATCTTGAAAAGATGCTTTTAGTCAAGTTTCTATTATTATTATTATTATTATTATGGCAACTCGCTCTACTACAGTATATACCAGGCATATCCAGGATGGTGTATGTACAGTATATACCAGGCATATCCAGGATGGTGTATGTACAGTATATACCAGGCATATCCAGGATGGTGTATGTACAGTATATACCAGGCATATCCAGGATGGTGTATGTACAGTATATACCAGGCATATACAGGATGGTGTATGTACAGTATATACCAGGCATATCCAGGATGGTGTATGTACAGTATATACCAGGCATATACAGGATGGTGTATGTACAGTATAACCAGGCATATCCAGGATGGTGTATGTACAGTATATACCAGGCATATCCAGGATGGTGTATGTACAGTATATACCAGGCATATCCAGGATGGTGTATGTACAGTATATACCAGGCATATCCAGGATGGTGTATGTACAGTATATACCAGGCATATACAGGATGGTGTATGTACAGTATATACCAGGCATATCCAGGATGGTGTATGTACAGTATATACCAGGCATATCCAGGATGGTGTATGTACAGTATATACCAGGCATATACAGGATGGTGTATGTACAGTATATACCAGGCATATCCAGGATGGTGTATGTACAGTATATACCAGGCATATCCAGGATGGTGTATGTACAGTATATACCAGGCATATCCAGGATGGTGTATGTACAGTATATACCAGGCATATCCAGGATGGTGTATGTACAGTATATACCAGGCATATCCAGGATGGTGTATGTACAGTATATACCAGGCATATCCAGGATGGTGTATGTACAGTATATACCAGGCATATCCAGGATGGTGTATGTACAGTATATACCAGGCATATCCAGGATGGTGTATGTACAGTATATACCAGGCATATCCAGGATGGTGTATGTACAGTATATACCAGGCATATCCAGGATGGTGTATGTACAGTATATACCAGGCATATCCAGGATGGTGTATTTTTCTCCGTCACTGAAAAGTTCCATAGAGAGAGGAATCGGGTCTGAAGAGTATTCACTGGGCATGTCGTAGATACCTGATCTTTGAACTTCGACCTTCTTCTCCTTGTTTAACCCCTTCCACACTCTCTGGGTGAAGTCTGCCGCCGTTGCTATGCCGATGAGCCCGCAGACTTTGTCAGGGTTTCGGAGTGTGTAGAGAAACATTAGCCACCCGCCGATTGATGAACCAACTAGTATCTGGAGGGAAGAGGGGGAGGGAGAGGAGGGAGGGAGGGAGGGAGAGGAGGGAGGGAGGGAGAGAGAGTGAACGAGCAATTCATTCTGTTTTAATTTGCGATAAGGTGAGTTGGTTTACAATGTGTTACATTTTAGAGTGTGAATATGTTTGCAAACCTTGAGACAACCATTCTCGAAAATGTACTGCACAAGTAACCCGTGATAAAGTCTCCACGAATCCCCAGTTTTCATGCTATCAGGTACATATGTAATTATACGGTAATTCTAATCTACACATAGTCCTTTATTAAACCCACTAACCATGCTATGCATGTCCGACATCTGTTCAAATTATTATGCGAATGAGGTATGAAGGTAGGCATAGGCAGCAAATATTCGAGCCTCTTCAATTAACCCTTTGGACACCATGGGTATCTCCTTAACACCTAACCAGCCACCGACACATAAATGTGTCCAGAGCCTCCATAAGTCATAAGAATTTATATGGGGGTTATAATACTAGGCACTAATACTTTATACATCAGTTTCTGCTTGCATATTTACGCAGATCCCCAAAGGGTTAAATAAGCACAAAGTGATGTATAACATATTAACGCCTAGTATTATAGCCCCATATAAATTCTTATTGACTTATGGACATAATATATGTCTGTGGCTTAAGAAAATATGGGTATGAAGTCAAAAGAAACAAGTAAAAAGGTCAGAGTGTGTCTAAAAATTTGGGTATGAAGTCAAAAGAAACAAGTAAAAAGGTCAGAGTGTGTCTAAACATTTGGGTATGAAGTCAAAAGAAACAAGTGGAAAGGTCAGAGTGTGTCTAAAAAGGAAGGAGAGAAGGACAATAACATAGGGAAAGGGAAGAGAGAGAAATAATCACTGAAAACAGGAAACAGAAGGAGGAGGATGGGGAATGGGGAAGTTGATCCAACAGTTAGTCTGAAGTAAGTTTGAAAGAGAAAATGGTTGAGTCAAGTATGAATCAACTGTCAGAGAGAGTCAGCAGTGGAGGAAAGGGAAAACTGTGCAAGTGACATATCATCTCACAATACCAGGAAGGACCTTATCAGTTTGAAAGTGTTACTATGCATCATGTGCTGCATGCACTTGTGTGTTGTTTGCCTTTGCTTTGCCTCTATACCTCCTCGATGACTCATGCACGGGGATGACACATGCACAGGGAACGTACAATCTAGTAGGTGCAAAGATGGACCTAGCTTGCCTTTTATAAGGCTAAGTGGTGGGAAAGTGTAGGTGTGGTGGGAAAGAGTATTGAAGTGCCCAAACACCTTGCAAAGGTGCAGTAATCGAATTGTGTAGTCTGCATTATAGTACCAGACAAGCCAAACTGAACCACATTTTGAAGCACATGGTTTGGGAGCGTGGGAGCAGGGTTCTGCCAAGAATGGAGTGGTGGTTACACATGTATGCACGACGAAATGGCAGTGGTAATGTGCCAGCCAGTGGTGGATGGCAAACTGGCGGTACTGCAGCGCAGCCGAACCACCATTACTAAACTTTGTGTAAGTGAGGGTTTTGTGTAGCTCTCAAGTAGGTTTTGGAAGTTTTGGCCACATACTCTCCAGTCATAGACGTCACAAAACTCTAGCCCAGTATAGCATCTAAAAGCTGGTTAAAATGGAGCCTTTATGAGCTAATTAACAAGTGGCAAAACCCCTCCATTCTTTACCTGAGGTCCTTCGGTGAGACTCTCCAGTACCGCACTAACGTCTTCCAGCCAGGCCGTCACCGTGCTCTCTCGCAGAGTCCCCGAGGAGCGCCCGTGGCCCGAGAGCTCGAATCGGACAAAGGCTCGGCCCCGTGAGCGGCAATAGCTGTCAAGAGAGGTGACCTTCTCCCCGTTCATGTCAGAGTTGAGGCCGTGGATGTAGACCACTCCAGGGAGCGCGCCCTGCGTCCGGTGGTAGGCGAGCCGCCGGCCTTGCGGCGTGTCCAGAAACGACGGCTCCGCGGGCACAGAGTTGGTTCTCTCGCTGCTTTCCGCTTCCATTTTCCCTCTCCTCTCCCCTCGCACACTCTGCAGAAACTGGCCGGCTTGTAATTTCCTAATAATACGCACCCTGCGCGCGCCCCCTCTCCCCAAAACTGACCACGCCCACTCTATTAATGCACAAATTTGTCTCTATTCCAGAGCGATAAGGTTCCATTCCATACGGAGTATTTTGGGCAGTGCTTTGCCGACTGACTGTCTGTGCGGTCAGAGAGGAGTGCCGCCATGGCAGAGCCGTTTCCCCCGTTCTCCACTCCGCCTGTGCCTACCACACCACAGATCGCCCCTTCTCCCGGCGTACCACCGCGTGAGTTACCTCCCTAGGACGTTAGAACTGAGTTCATGGGCTATAGATGTAGCTAAAGATCCGTGTCTCTAACCTGGGTAGCTATGTACTACATGTAGTCGTCCGTTGTAGAGATGAAATGTTAGGTTGACCAGCACAATATATGTACCCCTCTTCTGCCCCTGTTGTCCTTCCTTTCTGTTCTTTTTCTTTTTAGTTCTCTCTCTCTCTTTCTCCCTTCCCTCTCTCCCCCCCCCAGTGATGGCGGTACTGTGGCCACCTCCAGCAGTAGCCGAGTTCCATCCACCACTCAGACCTAACTTTGGTCACATCGGGAAACCAATATTTCTTAGGGCCAACCACTTTCAGGTGAAAACCCTTCATCTCCCTCCCTTTCTCTCTCTCCCCCTCTCCGTCTCTCTTGTCTCTCTCTCTCTCCCTCCCTCGTGTGTACTCCTTATCCCCCTTCTCTTTCTTCATCTCTCTTTCCCTCTCTCTTTATCTTTCACACAACACTTGACAAACATGTACATATACGTATGTTGTACACACAGTTGTACACACAGTAAAAAGCACCGATTGACTTACTAAAATATTGTACTTCGATCATTTACACACACACTCTAATGGCGCAGCGGCTTTTAGGTCGAGCGTCAGTCGCCACACGTATTTCTCTAAGACGATATCTATACAGATATCTATTACACATTACTCGGACTTTTTTCAGAGGTTTTACTATAGAACTATAGGTACAATTTCATTTGTGTAACAGTTCAAAACGATATCCTGTATACAAGTCATCTTTCTCGTGCATATTTCATCGTCAGTTTTGCATGCATTATCCTTCTGTGTGTGGGTGGCATCAAAAGGGGGTCCCCACAGCTCAGTTTATTCAGAAACTTTGTATTAACAATCTTTCACCGTAGATTAGTTTGCACTACTTTGTACTTGTGTGTGTGTACATCTTACAATGTGAACTTGAATGCCGTGTGTTGTATTTATTTTCCGTTACACAAAACCTTAATTTTAGCCTCTGACTCACACACTCCCATGGTGTGTCGTTAACACAGCCCTCACAAAACCTCAATTTTAGCCTCTGACTCACACACTCCCATGGTGTGTCGTTAACACAGCCCTCACAAAACCTCAATTTTAGCCTCTGACTCACACACTCCCATGGTGTGTCGTTAACACAGCCCTCACAAAACCTCAATTTTAGCCTCTGACTCACACACTCCCATGGTGTGTCGTTAACACAGCCCTCACAAAAGCATACAAATACACACACACGCAAAACTAAGCCAAGTGCATTTAGAGTCTTATTAGTATGATGCTAGGTACCGTGCCCATCCCTATATATGTACTAAGTACTACCGTACCGTACTTAGTGATACACCCTAATCTGGAGAGGTTATTACTGTACAGATCTTACTTAGTCTACAATCTAATCTGGAGACCAGTGGTACAGAAGAAAGTGTCCATATTAGGGAGGTGTCCATGTTTCAGAGGTTAAAGAACTGTTGAAAATGTGTTCTCATTAGAGAGGTGTCCTCATTTCAGGGGTGTTCTCAGAGAGAGAAGTTCCACTGTACATTAAATTTCATACGGACACTCCTATGTGTATGTATGCATGTAGAAAATACCATGTGATGCCAAGAGATAAAGCATGTACTGTTGAAGCCTAGCAACAGAATGTTAAAGGCGTAGTTTAGTTAGCTGGTTTAATACATCAGACGTGCATGTCTCTGACGTGTGTGTGTTGGATTCCACATTGCTACGTGCATAGCTGGCATACCTTCCCCTAGTGGACGTCTCCATTACAGTACGTTAGCACAGGGCAGGGTGTGGCCCATGATTGTGTACTTATGTTCAAAAACAAATGTTTTTCTAGTGTGTGAGTCAGTGTATCCAGTACACCCGCCAAGGGCTTTTAACCCTGCGGTGCGAACGTGGTCCCTTCTTCTGTTGCTAAAGGCTACAGCATCACCGGGTCCTTTCACTCTAAATATTCATCATGTTCACGATGAACTGTGTACATTTGTAGGAGGTATTAAATAAGCCTGTTTCATGTGCGTGTATGTAGCGTTGGCCCCGCCCAGTGTTCTGGGCGTGTCAGGTCTACGGCTGCCGTCGAGTATTTAGTCCCAGAATGTTCTAGAATGTTTGTAACACGAGGTACATAGGTCAAAGGTCAGTGCCTCTCTAATTACCCCGTCCTGCCGTACTATGAGTGCTTTTCACTTTTTATTTTTGTGCTCTTGCGTCCTGTTAGCATTCTTATATCACGTTACAGTTTCCTTATGCAGGGCAGCTATTCTTCTTTTCTTTGATAAAGAAAGAGCTGTCCTGGGTGTAGTTGACTTGTTTGCCTTGCCTTGCCTTTCTACCTCGTTACCAAGTTGTTGAGACATACATTATATGTCCATTACAAAGTCTATTTCAATCAATACCGGCTTGACTAGCTATTGGCTGCAGCATTGACTTTACTTGTCCCTTACTCATATAACCAAATTGTAAGAAGTGTGACTTAAGACTAATGTTGTATTCATTCTTATGTCACGAGGCCCGAGATTTATTTCTGGAATTCGGTGCTAGTTCAACAGTTTTGAAAAAGTGATTTGTATTACGTACGTATAGTCGGAGCTACTGACCGTATTCACGTGTCGTGAATGTGCACAACTATGCAGTGTGTGGACATTTTTTAGTCATGAATATTCTCTGGATGTTGGTGGTTTTTTGACAACGATATTAACCATCAGGAATGAGTCAATTTGCAGACTTTTCTTCACTTCTTGCATTCTGAAAACCACATTGATCTGTAGTAAAACCTCCAAAATAGGACCCTCTAAATAATGCACACCCCTCCATCAACATACTACGCTCGGTTCTGGTTATGTAGCCATCGTCGATTGTACTATATACTGCATAACATAGTATAGGTCAGGCCAACCAGATGTGTCAAAATAACATTTGATGTCTCGAAAGTGTCTAGATTTCACTGTACATATGTCAGTATTGCCATCTCTGTGTACAAGAGCGTGTGAATTAGTTTATCATTACAGCAACCTTCTTTTTGTTGTGACTGTTCAAATTTTGCTCTTTACCCTCCCTCTTCCCTCCTCTCCCCCCCCTCCTCCCTTCTTCAACAGGTCAAAATCCCAAACTGCTGTCTATACCACTACGATATAACAATAACGCCCGACAAGTGCCCGAGGAAAGTGAATCGCGAAATTATCGAAGTTCTCGTCAACACCCACAAAGAGTTCTTCGGACAGCAGAAACCAGTTTTCGACGGACGGAAGAATCTGTACTCTAAGAAGGCGCTCCCAATCGGGAGAGAGAGGGTAAGGAGGGGATGAGAGGGGGAAATAAATAGGTTGAGGAAAAAGAACTTTTGTGAGATAACGCAGTGTTCTCCCCAGGCATAGTTAGGCATGTCGGGCTGTCGTGCCTTCCTAAAATTAATAGCAACTCAAAAAGGCCAAAATGACAAGCCTTCACAAAATCCTGTAACGTGTATATACCTATTATAAGCTTGTGTAATGTAATTATATCTTGGTGTGTAAATTCTGTGAATTCCAGTCGTGAATCGCTGATAAATTTTCACAATCCTAGGGATATCCGTAAAATTTTACTGATCGGTTCTATGCAGGCTTCTGAAAACATAAAGCATGCTGTGTATTGTAAAGGGACTGTGTATATATTCCTTGATATTGTGTAGAGCCTGTGTCGCATGTCTCAACTCCTTGGTAACGAGGTGTGTAGAAAGGCAAGCCAAGGCAAGTCAGCTCTTTCTTTTCAAGAAGAGCTGCCCTGGGTGAGATTCGAACCCACGACACGCATATTATAACGTGTGTGTATGTACATATGTTTTAGGAGTGGCTTATGTCTGTTTCTCTTTCACTGAATGTAATGTCAATGATTACTACCCTCCCCCTATAATTATTACTGGCAATAGCCTCTTTAGATGTAAGGGAATACTTTTATTTGGGTATGGAACTTGGTCAGTGACTGTTTGACGCTTCCAAGGGTGACCACCAAGCCTCCACATGTACAGAAGACGGCCATTTTTCCTGGTCAAATAGGAGCAGTAGTCAACTGACAGTAGTGGTTTTGTTCATAAGTGGAATGTTTTGCTTTTCGCCATCGAGCCATTGCCCTACCACCCCCTCAACCACACAATGTACATCCCTTACATACATATCCTCCTTTCCCAGTCTTCACTTTCTGTGTGTGTGTGTGTGTCTACCACAGCTATATACTAGTAGCAATGGCTGGTATTGTGTATGGTGAGTGGTCATTTTACTGATCATACATACGTAGGTAATGTGGCAAAGAAAAAAAGTTCTATAGCGTGTGCACATGGAAAAACTGAACTACATATGTAGCTTGCATACCTTTTGTAACTATAGGGGCTGATGTTTGTCCCCTGAATATGCTTCCCAGGGGACACTTTGACCCCCAACCAGCTCTCATTACGCAACTCTTCCCTTCTCCCTCCCTCCCTCCCTCCCTCTCTCTCTCCCCTAAAGATTGAGGTCAACATATCTCTACCAGGAGGAGATAGCAGAGACAGGTCCTTCACTGTAAGTATTACGATACACCCAAAAGATACATAATTATGTGTTTAGATCACTGCACATTCCGTAGTGTTCCACAAGATTCTACAAACTCGCAAAACACACGCGAAACGTTGAACTGTGTACTGTCCTCCAGTAGGGAGTTTTGTACGTACTTAAGTGAGTACATATAAAGGCAATGTACCCAGCATCATGTGGATGTATGGAGCTACGATAGGGAGTTTGTGTGTACATATACATATTAGGTGAGTATGAAGGCGGTGGCAAAGGTGGATCTGGAGCTGTTGGAGAGAGTTCTCAGAGGAGAGCAGATGGAGATGCCGTTTGAGAGCATACAGGCTCTGGACGTCGTCCTGCGTCACCTTCCCTCCATGAGGTAATGTCATCAGAATGTCCTTTTTAGGATCACCTTCCCTCCATGAGGTAATGTGATCAGAGTGTCCTTTTTAGGATCACCTTCCCTCCATGAGGTAATGTGATCAGAATGTCCTTTTTAGGATCACCTTCCCTCCATGAGGTAATGTGATCAGAATGTCCTTTTTAGGATCACCTTCCCTCCATGAGGTAATGTGATCAGAATGTCCTTTTTAGGATCACCTTCCCTCCATGAGGTAATGTGATCAGAATGTCCTTTTTAGGATCACCTTCCCTCCATGAGGTAATGTGATCAGCTTTTTCGGAAGTTCTATAATTATACATAATAGTTAGACATCGAGTCTGTGAAATATACTCACGTTTGAACCCGAGGGTCCTTGCGTTGTAGCGTTCCATGTGCAGTGAGGACATTACGTGAAGGACTTCAAACGTACGTAGATTTCAAAGGACGAGATACCTAACTTATTTTGTGTACATACTCCAATTAATGCACACTTGTTTTTTTGGGGCGTGCATGGGGTGGTACGTGAGGGAAACGGCGCTGTTGGTACTTAGTAAAAACAATGCGAGTTACTATGAGATCTAGTGAGCATGTTTCACATGTGGGTGTGTACTAATGTATTGTGCCAACCTGTTGTGGGTACTTTATACTCCAATAAATCCAGGTATTAAACTCTGCACATACCCCACACTCCACTCCGTAGGTATACTCCAGTGGGACGATCGTTTTTTTCTCAGCCCGAGGGTGACCCATATCTCCTAGGCAACGGGAGGGAGGTGTGGTTTGGATTCCACCAGAGCATCAGACCATCGCAGTGGAAGATGATGCTCAACATTGATGGTGAATATCTCTTCCTCTCTCTCATCCCTCCCTCCCCCCTCTCCTCTCTCTCTTACTTTTTCACTACCTCCCTCCCCTCCCCCCTCTCTTCTTCTTTCTTTTCCTTATATGTCCCTCCTTCCCCTTCCTTTCATTATGTCAAACCAGCAAATGTACAAAACAAGCCTGCACATGTTTTCCAGCTAGTTGTAAAGTCTGTGAGTGACTCTCAACACGCAAAATTTGCAAACTTTGTTTCTCGAAAGAGTCTCACAGTAAATAGTACGTTGTCACACGTACATAGTTGCATGATTGTGTGAGGAACGTTGTTGTTGTTGTTGTTGTTGTTGTGTGAGATGGTATACATGAAATGTGTGTGTGACTGCTGTTTGTTGTTTGTGTTCTCAGTTTCGGCCACGGCTTTCTACAAGCAGCAACCAGTTCTACAGTTCCTCTGCGAGGTGAGAGGGGAAACCCCTTGCCAACACATCCATTAATACAACATACAGTATGTGTATATGTACGTACTCTGCCCCGGCAGGCTATATACCCTCATCCCCTGTTGTGATATAAATAATAGTTGAGTGAAAATGTTCAAATATTCTTATATATACTGCTAGCCCTTCCCCTATACTGCCTACGGTTGGTATATAGGATATGTTTTTTAAGTCAGTGGCGTAAGCTGAAGCTCTTTCATCCAAGATCGCCCTCTTTCAGCTCTCTAGAGTTGGCACCACGTAAGGTCTCCTCGTTAAATAAGATTCCCTCTCTCCTCTCACTCACAGCTGCTAGAGTTAGGGTCCATAGAGGAACAGAGAAGACCTCTATCTGACTCACAGAGAGTCAAATTCTCTGTTGTTCTATGATGTAATAGTGATGTAAGGTCTCCTCGTTAAATAAGATTCCCTCTCTCTCCTCACTCACAGCTGCTAGAGTTAGGGTCCATAGAGGAACAGAGAAGACCTCTATCTGACTCACAGAGAGTCAAATTCTCTGTTGTTCTATGATGTAATAGTGATGTAAGGTCTCCTCGTTAAATAAGATTCCCTCTCCCTCCTCACTCACAGCTGCTAGAGTTAGGGTCCATAGAGGAACAGAGAAGACCTCTATCTGACTCACAGAGAGTCAAATTCTCTGTTGTTCTATGATGTAATAGTGATGTAAGGTCTCCTCGTTAAATAAGATTCCCTCTCTCCTCTCACTCACAGCTGCTAGAGTTAGGGTCCATAGAGGAACAGAGAAGACCTCTATCTGACTCACAGAGAGTCAATTCTCTGTTGTTCTATGATGTAATAGTGATGTAAGGTCTCCTCGTTAAATAAGATTCCCTCTCTCCTCTCACTCACAGCTGCTAGAGTTAGGGTCCATAGAGGAACAGAGAAGACCTCTATCTGACTCACAGAGAGTCAAATTCTCTAAGGAAATAAAAGGTCGGTGCATTATTTCTTGTGTACAGCTTTAGTTTTACATGATTTACATGAAATTTACATGAAAGTTACACTCTAACGAGCCAATTTACAAGACAAACGAGGCCAATCGTCGTATACCATAAATAGTGTTGAGCTGGTTGGTGGAATGTACTGTATTGCAAGAGTATTACTGTATTATGTTGGGCATTGAGAAAAGTTGTCCTGGGTGTAGTTGACTTGTTGGCTTTGTCTTTACCTTGCGGCCTTGTTGACGTTTGCATCATTGGCTGGTGAGCGAGCCTGCCTAATGTGGGAGCGAGCCTGCCTAATGTGGGAGTGAGCCTGCCTAATGTGGGAGTGCTCTGTCTGGCACTGCACATACACCGTAATGTTCTATGTGATTCTAAATACGCGCAAATCACGTGTGAAATTGCTCGCACTCGCTCACCTAAAAGACTCAGCAGACACGCTGTGCAGGCTGGCCCCCGTGTATTCGCACATGCACAGTTCGCGGTGTGCGTGACCTTTAACCTGGTAGGATGTCTGTTTCATTCGTGTCCTAGTATTAAAGGGTAAAGTGTTGTACATCTGCAGGACTGAAGGTAGAGGTGACCCACACAGGTCCAATCAGGAGGAAGTACAGGGTGTGTAACGTCACCAGGAGACCTGCGTCTGCCCAGACGTGAGAACACACACACACACACTCTCTCTCTCTCTCTCTTTCCACGTCCACCAATGAAATTTTCAGTAATTTGGAGGATTTGGTGCTAACGGTTGGAATTGCCAAATTTACCAAGACAATGTAGCTGCTGTGTGTGCATATTATGGCCTATTTGTAGCGAATCGCCAAATTGCGCCTCATGCTCAAGTTAATTCACCGTATAATTGATGACTGTAAATAAAGAATATGGTTTGTTCACAATCGATACTGAAGTTCAAAATGTAAATCATAAATATATTGATACATCCTTGTGTCGCCAGGAGGTTAATAAACGATATACAGTGTACATAACTAGTGTTTCGACTTGTTGCACTGGATTGACATGTTTACTGTTCGTTTGACTGGATTGACTTGATTGATTTGATTTTACTGTTGGTTTGACTGGTTTGACTGGTTTGACTGGATTGATTTGATTTTACTGTTGTGTGAATACAGGTTTCCGCTGACGGTGGAGAGTGGGGACACCTACGACTGCAGCGTCGTCCAGTATTTCAAGGAGAAGCACAAACTGGACATGCGGTTCCCGTACCTCCCGTGTCTCCAGGTCGGACAGGAGAGGAAACACACCTACCTACCTCTAGAGGTCAGCCACACCCCCTTCCTTACTTCCCACTTCTCTTCTTCCATCTTGTATGTACGTACGTACCCCTCAAGTGTTACCAAATTTCCTTGTGTGTATATACTTTTCTCCGACGCGATTATCAGACCATGTTTTTCTTAAATCTCTAATCTGACTTGATGAGCTGAATTTTCTTTTGCCGTCTCTGTAAATTGACAATGTGCATTCTCAAACATTGCGTAGAGTGATACGTACTAATTGTATACCAATATGACTAATTACTTTTTCACCAATAATTCACTCATGTGTACAATGGATGCATCCAAAATATATGTCAAATACTAGTATTTTTTCTCTGAAGCATTGAATAACCATAGTACTATGCATGTGGGATGCACAGGTGTGCAACCTGGTGCCAGGTCAGAGGTGCATCAAGAAGCTCTCAGAACACCAGACGTCGAGGATGATACGAGCCACTTCTCGAACCGCTCCCGACAGAGAGAAAGAGATCAACAGACTTGTTAGCTCTCTTCTCTCTTCACATTTTTAATCTTTTTCCCTCTCTCCCTCCCTCCCTCCCCTCCCTCCCTCTCTTCCTCCTTTTCTTCCTCTTTTCTGTCCGATCGTTTTCCACACTTTTCTTATCCACTCCTGCTTTAGTTCTGTGAAATTTCTGATGACATCATTCCATTGTTAATCAATGACATCATTCTAGATGACATCATTTTAAGTGACATCATTCCCAGGTGGTTCGAGCCGACTTCAATGAGGATCCGTTTGTGAGAGACTTTGGTATCTCGATAGACCAGAAGATGGTGACGGTCACAGGTCGTATTCTCCCTCCTCCTCTCCTCCAGTATGGAGGGAAGGTCCAGGTACGTACATTAACATACACGTACTGTACATGCTGAGTGAGAGTATACTGTGCCATAGCACAGTGGTTTGAGGTTTGCCTTGTGTTGTGTTGTGTTGTAGATTCGAACCCCTACCGGCTGAGTTGCCCTGGTAGCTCAGTTGGTAGAGCGCTCGCCTAGACTGCAGAGTGTCGTGGGTTCGAATCCCACCCAGGGCAACGAAAAGAAAGAGCTGTCCTGGGTGTAGTTGACTTGTTTGCCTTGCCTTGCCTTTCTACCTCGCTACCAAGTTGTTGAGACATACATACAGTATAGACTAGCAGCATATCAAGGCACTACAACAGTAGGTTTATACACCGTGTTGAGATTTAACTCAATTTGGTTTTTGTCATACAACGTCGTGTTTTCCTCTGAACATTTGTACATAACTTGATGCTCTGATTTTTCTCTTTTAGGCTCGAATACAGGCCCAGCCTGAAAGAGGTATATACTTATAATGCAACATAACAACAAGTTTTATACATGCTGCTTTATCTATGGGCGAAATGTTGTAGCAATTTCCAAGTTGAACGGGCAATCTTTTAGCCAAGTTTAAATACAGTCTCCTGCCATAGTAAAGACATTCACTTTGAGTCTGTGTGATGTTTTTGTTGTTGTTGTTGTTGTTGTTATTGCAGGGGTGTGGGACATGAGAGGGAAGCAGTTCCACAGAGGAGTGGAGATCCACTGCTGGGCACTGGCCGTGTTTGCCCAGTACCGCCTCTGCCCCGAGGAGAAATTACAGTCAGTTATCCCTACACCTCTCTCTCCCTCTCTCTCTCTCTCTCACCCTCTCTCTTATGCCTTGCTTTACCCTTCCTTCCTCTGCCATCCCTTATATTCCTTTACCCCATTTTTTCCTCTCGTTTTTACATACACATCTCTTTCATCTGCTGCAGGCATTTTATATTCCAACTGCGTCGCATCAGCAGCGATGCCGGTCAGTACTAAAATAACTGTTTATTCTGTGTAGTGGGTTGTTAAAACTAAGAATTTTAAACTAAGAAATGTGAGCGTAATTTTTTTGCCTGTGTGCACCATAATGACCATTCTCAAAATTCAGAGCGTGAAAAAAATTAAGTGCCCCTGACAAAATGCTTTTTAAATTGATGATGGTGATGCAGGGATGCCGGTAATGAAGGACCCGTTCTTCAAGCGCTACATCTCCGGCTCGGGGCTGGACCACGTGGAGCCACTGTTCAGACAGCTGAAGACCGACCGTCCTGACCTCCAGCTACTCATGATCATCCTGCCCGGCAAGACTCCTGTCTATGGTGGGTTTTCATCTTTCTCCTCCCGGCATAAAATTATCTGTCCCTCTCTCCCTCCCCTCCTCACTCCCTCTCTCCCTTCCTCCCCTCCCCTCCTCGCTCCAGCGGAGGTCAAGAGAGTGGGGGACACTCTGCTGGGAGTGGCCACTCAGTGTGTCCAGGTGAAGAATGTCCTCAAACCGTCCGCTCAGACCCTCTCAAACCTCTGTCTCAAGATTAACGTCAAACTGGGCGGAGTCAACAGCATCCTCGTTCCAGGGATCAGGTACTCGGTTCCAGCACCAGACCCCTGTAATTACAGGATTTGGAATTGTAGACACTCGTGTAAAGTCACACGGGTTTTTTTATACACATGGGGAGGGTGTAATCTCATCCATTTCAATCCCGTCTCTGCCTTCTAAGGAACATGTAGTGAAACCACGACTTAACCCATAGCCACGCCCCCTTATTCCCTGTATGTCGTACATTCTTTGCTTTTTGATAACTTGAAGTGTTATTGATTATTTGAAGTGTCGTTTCACTTCTCTCAAACCCTCCCTCCCTCGATCTCTTCCTCCCTCCCATCAGACCAGCGGTGTTCCAGTCTCCAGTGATATTCATGGGAGCCGACGTCACCCATCCTCCAGCAGGAGACGACAGGAAACCCTCCATCGCTGCCGTGAGCCCTGCAGCTATCATACACCTAATGATTATATAGAGCACATTTTGGCAAGACGAGCAGTTGCAATTTTGTGCACATTTACTACCTACATGATTCTGACAACTGGCTGTTTTAGCAAACTTTGAATTTGAGTTTTACCACAACCTTCTATTCTCATTTATTTTTCCCACAACAGAGAATTATAGTAGGAAAAGAGCTTTATAAACTGTCTTGTTGTGTTAGCTGTTTAAATTCCGTGCTCAGTGGACTGTTTGCGTTTACTCATCA